GAAGAAAAAACCAAAAGCTGTGCAACAGCAATTGCAGCCAGGAGGGAGGAGTGAGAACATGTGAAAGAAATTACTCTGCAGACACCAAGGTCAGTGGAGAAGAAGGATGGGGAGGAGCTGCTCCAATATCAGAGATTCCCCTGCAGCCCATGGTGAAGACCATGGTTAGGCAGGTTGTCCACCTGCAGCCCATGGAGGCAAATGGTGGAGCAGATATCCACCTGCAGCCCATGGAGGATACTTGCCACACCAGCTAGGTGGGTGCTTGAAGGAGGCTGTGACCTAGTGGGAAGCCTGCAGCAGAGCAGGCTCCTGGCAGGACCTGTGGCCCCATGGAGAGAGGAGCCCACACTGGAGCAGGTTTGCTGGCAGAACTACATGAAGAACTTCATCCTGTGCAAGGGACTCACACTAGAGAAGTTCATGAAGGGTTGTCTCCTGTAGAAGGGGCCACACACTAGAGCAGGAGAGGAGTGTGGAGGAGCGCCTTGTGTGTGAGTGTGAAGGATGGGGGAAGGTGTTTCAAGATTTGTTTTTATTTCTCATGATCCTACTGATTTGATTGGTAGTAAATTAAACTAATTTCCATGAGTTGAGTCTGTTTGATCCATGATGCTAATTGGTGAGTGATCTCTCCCTGTCCTTATGTTGACCCACAAGCCTTTAGTTACATTTTCTGTCCTGTCCAGTTGAAGAGGAGAGTCATAGAGTAGTTTTGGTGGGCACCTGGCATCCAATGAGGGTCAGCCACCGTAATCACATTACTTGTCCTCAATAATTCAACCTGTTTGCTGGACATAAGTGAACCCAATTTTCTTTTCTATTTCAGCATTCTTTTTTTTTTTAAAGATGCCTTTCTGTTTCCAAATGCATCCCTCAGTAAATAGCAGCTGCAGAAGGAATTCGTTTGACCTCTACTTCCCTAATTGCTTTTTGCTCTGTATTGGCCTGGAAATGGATGTTGCTATTGTGTAAATTACTGTGATGGTGGAAAAAGAGCTCATGAGATCAGGTGTGTAATTTCTGCCAGGAAAATAGGTTTCTTAAATGGAAAGCAGCGTCTACCTGTCTGTAACCAGAGTCTGGGTCAGTCTGAAAACCCCAAAAGATAATTACCTCATTTTCTGCTTCTGAGCAGTTCCACGGAGTTACTGATTTTTTGTGGCCAAGAGCAGATTTAATTTGAAATCTGCTCTGAGCTCCTTTCAGACTCTGGAAGGGGACCCTCAGACATCAGAGAGTACAGCTCAGTCCACTCCTCCCGTGACCTGGGCTCAGTGTGGTGCAGTGCCCAACTGCTGTCCCATGGGCCAGACCACAGGATCTTCTCTAACTCTTTTGGTAGAGGCTGAAGGGAAAGGGCAGGAGCTTTTTTCCCCCCTATAGCCACGGTTGGTGGGTCTCCACTCCCAGGCTGGTGGCCTGCCCACAGCTCTGCAGGGGTGCCCTGCTCAAAGGGGCTTTCAGTTGTCCCTGCAGGCGCCTGTGGCCTTGGCCAGTCCCTTTCCAACCAGGGCAGAAACTGGCTCTGGAGTGGTGTGCAGCTCACCTTGTATCTTGAAAAGTTGTCATTCTGGGATCGTGTCCAGGAGTCGTGGCTGGTACATGAGTGGTACCTACGGGGCGTGTGTCACCAGTGTGATGTTCACCACTCCTGGGCTGTGGAGCAGCCTGAAGCGGCGGATGTGAGTGTCAATGGTGTAACAAGTGTAATGGCTCTTACATGCTTGTTGGTGTCCAAGGGGGTGGTGGAGGAGAGAAGTGGTTGGTGCAGCAGAGGAGGGAGTGCTCAGAGCCTATTGCCTGTCCCTGCACCAGGAGGGGTCTCAGTGCAGAACAGCCCCAGCCTGTGGCACAGGCCAGTGCCAGAGCCAGACTCTGCTTTCAGCACCTCACCTCCCCTCTTCCTGGGGAGAGCCAGTGACAGCAACAGGCACAACTGTGCTCCTGGGTGTGGGCAAAGAAAAGGGCTTATTTTTGCAATACTAACTTTAGCACCTTCTGGGGAAGAGCAAGGGCTCTGTGCTCAACCATCAGCAAATTTGTTCAGCAAATGCTGGCCCTTTTAAGAGTGGAATAAAGCAATTAGCTGCTCAGAAAGGCATGTCCTTCAGTTTTAAAGGCTCGTGAACTGATGAGTGAAGCAGAATTTGTGGCACACAGATCTCTCATCTTTTGAGAAACAGCTTCACTACAGCAGCTGAGTTTGTAAACCTGAGATCTAATCTAGTCTTATAGTCTGTGTGTGAATAAGCATTTTGCCTTGAAAAACATCTTGTTCTCTAGCAATGTCTACCTCCATGCTATCTAAACTAGTTAATGATAGAAGGAACAATGCTTGTAGCCCATTAATACCCTAAAGAAATCAACGTGCTAATTACCTGACAGGATGAGATTAGGAAGATGCTTTACAAGAATACCAAATACTTGGATCAGCAGTCCCCTTTCTTACCACACCTACTCACTTTACAGTCCTGCCAGGGATATTTTTTGAAGAATTGGTCTGCATGGGGTAATTCCCCACTGATAATGTATGCTGTGATTAACTGATGGCCTTTAAGATTTCTTGGTTTAAATTACTTGGTATTGTCTCCCAGGATTAGGCTTCCTCTTTCTTCATTCTGGGAAAAAAGGAGGAAAAGAATCCTATATAAAAAATTAGAGAGGCATTTGCTTTGGGGTTACTTTCATGTGATTTTATCGCAATATTTGATTTCTATAAGATAATAAATCATAGCATGGCATTAAGCATAGATGTGCTAGCTACACTTGTGATCCATTGCCTTATAGGATAACTTGTTAATAACTCCAGCAAGCTGTGTACGACTTGGAGGTTAATGGCTTAAAGTTCTTCACCCCATCCTGAAAAGGTGGCCTTTCCAAAGAACAGCAGCCTGGCCTCTTGACAGGGTCGCTTTCTGTGTGGAGAGCCGATGGCACCACCCCTGCATGACGGATGGGATGCAGTCCTCCGAATGGGGGTGTACTCCCAATTCACTTTTAACTCCAGTTTGAATATAGACTTACTATGCTCTGAGTTTCAGGGTAATTTTTTTTTTACTGCAATTGTTTGGAGAAATGATTTCTGTGTTTGAAGGTTTGCTGTTGCCAAAAATACCACCAGGTAATTTGATAAGCAGAAGCATTTCTGCCTGTAAGCTGTGCGTGTCAGAGCTGTTAGAAGTATACAGTGAAATGTATCCTTGAACAGCTTGATTTTGGGACAGCACTGGCAGGTGGCACCTGAGTCACCCAGAACAGGAACCCATACTGGTGCAGTAGCTAGGAACCAGCCTTTGCAGAGTGTGGAGGTGGTAGAGATGCTGAATAGCACATGAAAATAATACAAATCAATTGTAGGATGTATTATCATAGGAGATACACAGCCTTGACAGAGGGGTGTGACTACAAGCAAGGTTGAGTGCTTAGTGCTCCGGGTCCTGCCTGCTTGGAAAGGGGGGTGCTGCATCAGGGGGTGCTGCCATGATGGATCCCAAATGTGGCTTTGCTGCCAGCACTGGTTCCCAGCAGCCCTGGGGGCTGGTGCTGCTGGCAGGGGCAGTGGCAGCGCTCGGCTCCACACCAGGCTGCACTTCCACTGTGAACTTGTGTTCTGCCAATGACCAGGCCCAACAAAAACAATACAGCCAGCAGGAAGATGAACCAATACACAGACTGTATTATAAACAAAGAGGACATTCCATGAATGATCGCTGGGGCTACAAACAAGTCAATCAGCTGGTACATAATTGATGCCACCCCCAGGGATCCCACAAAAGACATAACTCGGCCCACAACAGGTGGTACAAACAGAGACCCGAGGTTTCCCATAGTTGACAAGGGAAACAGCCAGATCACCAAGTTAAGCATATAAGAGAAAGGTGCCCACATAGTGACACTCACCTGATCAGCCCACGTTCACAAAGGTGTAAACGGACCGGGGCCCAGTTCCAGGAGAGTCAGGAGGTCTGCCCTGAACCAGGAAGCTCTGGGCAGTGCACTCCACACACAGACACTCCTGACTCCCTGCCAGTGGTCCCAGCTTTTATCCCCAAGCAGACACCTGACCTTTGTCAACTCAGTGCAGGACCCCTGGGGCTCATTTCCCTTCTGGCTCTCCCTGCAGGGCCGGCTGCACCCTGGGGGGAAGCTATAAGGCAAACTCACCCCCTCTTTATGAAGGGCTGTGGGAATCACCCATATGTCAACCTTAATTTGGGGCTCAGGGTTCAAACCCCAGCATTTCAGCTTGCTCTTGCTGCCCACGCCTGTGTGGATTTGGAGCCCCTGCAGGCAACTGTTTCTAAAAAATCCCTCTCTCTCCTGAGGAGACTTTTTAATCCTTAGTATTCCAGCCGGTGCCCATGGATATCCTGGTTTCAGTTTGCACAGGCTTTTTGTTCAGCTTTCTAATGAGCCAAGTCAGAGCTTCAGTTCACAAAACACAACGTGCTTTTGCTCCTGTCCAGTGGGAACATGCAGCCCTTCCTGGGATCAGGCTCATCGTTAGAGTCTGCTGCTGTCTGTTCCAGGAGACTGGGCTAATCCAAAGGACGGGGTGTCGGGTTGATGTCTCTCCCTCAGTTGCTTTCCTGGACTTTTAACAAGTAGCTGTAGTGATAATTATGGCAAATCACTCCTGTGTAAACATCCTGCTGGCAGCCTGTGTGTGTGTGATTCCTGTCTCTACTCAGGAAGGCTGTCAATTAGCACTGCAGTGGTTCATCACAGTTGCACTTAGAGGAGCACAGTGTGAGATGCTCCTTGTTCCTTTACCCAGGCACGGGCTACTTGGCTGCTTTCATCATTTTGTGATGCCCAGGCAGAGCTTTTGGCATTTCTTTACGTGATGTAATTCTACTTCAAGGCCAGGTTGGATGGGGCTTTGAGCAACCTGATCTAGTGGAGGGGGGATGGAATTAGATAATCTTTAAAGTCCCTTCCAACCCAAACCATTCTATGGTTTTGCCTTGCCCCATCTCTGTTTCTGCTCTCCCCAGTGTACGGGCACAACGTGAAGAGCAGCAATGACTTCATTGGGAGGATCGTGATCGGGCAGTACTCGACGGGTGCCCCCGAGTCCAACCACTGGCGCCGGATGCTCAGTGCTCACCGAACAGCCGTGGAGCAGTGGCACAGCCTGCGGTCCCGGGAGGAGTGCGACCGCGTCTCTCCGGCGTCCCTAGAGGTCACATGAGCTCGGGGACTACCAGCAGCCAGACCGAGCAGGCGGGCAGGGAAAAGAAGAATAACCCGCTGACCCAAACGTGCCACCTCCCCCTCCCTGCACCCCGCCGCGGCTCCCTTGTGCTGAGGCGGCTGCTGGCGCCCGGCTGGCCACGCTGGCCAGTGTCTGCGAACCGTGTCCCGCTGGGTCCTGGCTGTTCCCCCGTCCCAGCAGCAGCCTGGCCGGCCAGACCTCTTGCTGCTCACACCCGGGGCCGCTTGGCCGTTGGCATCCCGTTCGACCGGGCACCGTGGGAAGTGCTGAGCGGGTGGAGGAGCTGGGACGTGCCTCCGCTGTCCTTCCGGTCCAAACCCACGGCTCGTCCTCTCGGAGATATAAATACCTGTGTGCTCTTATTGGTGAACGTGATCATTAGGCTAGAATATTTTTTAAATGGTAGAACCTGTGGTGCAATTGATTCCCACTCCAGTTTTGTCCTTGTACTAGTTTTAAGGGAATTAGGCTCCTGTTAGTATGTACACATCCATCTGTGTGGCTGTGCGGCCCTGCAGCCAGCGGCTCCACGTCCCGTCAGCAGAGACCTGCCACTCTCCATAGCCCTCTGTGTGCGTCAAGTAGATACAGTGATGACATAGCAGAGTAAACATTTCCAACAGCATCTGCACTGGGAAAGCCAGCTCATGTCTTTTCAAACCTGTGTTGTGCAAAAGAAACCTGCTGTGGGGACTTCTGCAGTTAAGAAGACTCAAAATACACAATTTTAATTCTCTCACAGACTGCAGTGGCTCTTTCAGTGTTGTGTGTGTTAACCCAGGTAGTTCTTCAGGTCACCAAGTGAACTTAACTACAGTCAAGCTGTCCTGTTGGTTGCTTCTGTATATTTTATTTTTTTCACAGCATATTGTCTGGTACGATACAGATTGTATATTTATTGAAAATAAAATTCTATTTAATTGTGCCACATAGTCTGGGATGATACTTGTTAGCAGAATTCATCTTTGTGTTGAGCTCCATCCTTTATGGCATAATAAAAGCCAAAATGTTGGCATTTACTCCCTTGTTACTCACTGCAGATGAACTGGGAGCCATTTAAGAGAAACTGGGGACATGCTGATGGAGGTTGGTCAGAAGACTGAGCTGGTTGCATTGATCTGGCCATCTGTGGTTCCCAGCCAGAGCCCACCCAACATGCCTCAGGTCGGGTGTGTCAAAGCCTCTGCATCAGGTTCTGGGCCTTGGTTCTTTGCAGGAGTGGGCTGCAAATTATTATCACTTTTAATTGCTCTATTTGTCAACATTGAGACTATATAAAAATCTGTACCTTGCTTACACCCCATTTGAGAAATTCTGAAGAGAGCTGAGCCTGGCCCATGACTTCATTGTCTTTCCATGTCTTCATTTTTGAGTAGGAAGGATCTGTTCTGTCTTCAGCAGTGTTTATCTGTGTTGGGCTGGAAAGCCTCAGGGTGTTCAGGATGGGTCAGCACTGCCACCCCAGCAGTGCTGCTGTGATCGGAGGAGGTGGGGCAGGGCCCTGGGCTCTGGCTGTATCCTGCTCTGTAGGTCACCTGTGAAATTGGTGGGTGGTAGCCCCTGGCCCCTGCAGTGGCCCAGGCCCGTGGCACACTCCCCCTCCATGTCCCCCTGGTGCAGAGCCATCCCAGGGCTGTGCTGGTCCCCAGGTTCCCCACCAGCTGCCTGGGAGAGGTGCAAAGCAGTGTGCTCTCCATCTGCCCTGGCTCAGTCCCTCTTGGCTAGAAGTGGGAGAGTTGTCTTGAGAAAAATACAGGTGGTGTTTGGGGTGGGGACTTGGGGCTGGGTGCTGCAGGAAGCAGCCTTTGCTTGTGGCTCTTCGACCTTGGAAACTGGAGGTCAGAATGATGAGAGTCCAGAGCTGACACATGGTAGGGCAGGCAGCAGTCATTTCCCTGCCCTCAATTCATCAAATGCAGCCCAGAAGGAAATCCCATTCCCCCCTGTGCTTTTAATGTTCTGATTTTTGAAAATAAAACTCTCTCTCTATATATATACATGCCAGTATCACCTCCTTTTGTGATTTGGCTGCTACAGTTAGGGATAGATGAATCTTAAAAAGAAAAAAAAAAAAAAAAAAGGCTGAGTGCTTGTTTGGGCAGATATCTCTCAGTGTGCCCTGTTCAGGGGGTTTGTGCCCCAGCCTGAAGGTCTGTGTTGTAACTCTGCTACCAGCATCCCTGCAGCATGCCTTGGGGCTGGGACCTGCTCCAGTGTACACTGAGTCGGGGATGTTTCGTTCCCTTCTGTGCTCAGAGCATCACTGTGTATGTTCTTCATGTGACAGCCATCGTGACCCTGCCGTCCTGGAGAAGGTAAAGCAATGAATACAAGGCTACAGGAGATGCTGTCTTCCCTCTGCATCCAGAAGAATCTCAGTGTCTGGAGGGGAGTGACAGTGCAGACACTGTCCCTCTAGGCAGAGCGTAGCATGGCCTTGGACAGAGCCTGGGAAAAGAAGGCCTTGGTGACCTTGTTGCCCAGCTGCTGTAGCCATGAGTGAGCACAGGTAGGAGCTTACCTTGTTGGTGTGGTCATGCATGCTGGGCTGTGGTGAACACCTCTACTTCATACTGAGCCCTGCCAAGGGCTCCCTGCTGCTCTCCAGCACAGCTGCTGTGGGGTAGCAGCACACAAGGATGGGGACAGTGGCTGCTGCAGGGCTGTTCATGGGCATCCTCTTTCCAAGCATGTTGTGGTTGGTGGGTTTCAATTCTAACCTGCCTCTCCATGAGGTGAAATTCTTCCTCTGTCCCACAGTGAGGCTGATAGCAAATCTCTGTTCACTGGCTTCCTCCTGGTTTGGCTCATCAATAAATCATGGTGGAGAGGGAGCACACAGGGTGTCCTGGGCAAATGTTCTGGAGGATGCTGATCTCTTCCCATAACTCAAAAACACTCCATCTAGGGGCTGTGTTTTCAGCAGTCGCTGCCATTGACATTAATAGTCTTCCACGTGGGGTCTATGGACAGCAGCACAGGCTCTAGGCATCCACAGAAGCTGACTTGAGACCTGCCATGTGGTCTGCTGGAGCACTGGGGATGAGGTGTTAACAGAGAGCACTCTTGCATGGGAGTCCTTTGAGCCATGAGGTATCTGTTTCAGAGGGAGGGGGATGCCATGTACATATCGATACTAAAATTTGGTGAGGGAACCTTGAGGAAAGGTCAATAAAAGCAAGATGTAAGCCCACTGAGGAGCTCCTGACCTGGAGGACAATGAGAAAACTGTGGAGAGGGAGAGGGGCGGAACAAATGAGACATGGCTGTGCTCCCAGGGCTGCACCCAGCAGGTAAAACACATCCCATCATTTGTGAATCAGAAGGTGACCCCAAGTGCAGCTGCAACTCCAGCCAGCCCCGCGTGCACGACGTGGGTGTACTTTCCCAGCACTGGGAGCAAAGCTGGTGCCCAGCTGCTGTGCTGGGCACAGAGCTGCCAGCCAGAGGTTAGCACGGGGGGCTCAGGGCTCCTGCCTGTGCCAGGGCAGATGCTGCTGCCACCGAGGGTCTGTTGTTAGAAACCGGATTAAAGTTATTCCGGACCTCTGCTTCCTCCTTAAGCATGGACGTTTGTGCTTTGAGAGCAGATTAATATGCTCAAAGAGTTTTGTTCTGTGGTTTGCTGATAATTGTTTGTAACGCTGGCTTTGTCTGGGGATGGCACACAGCTAAGAAGTGAGAAGGCGTGCCTTGGCAGCCAATACTCTGAATTCCCTCATTTTTAGTGGTCTGATATAGCAATAGGCTTTTCCTTCAGCCATATAGTTCCAGATCAATTTATGGAACTGCAAATGGGGGACGAGGGAGAGTTTCCTTAAAAGGTTTTATTCAATGCAAAGAAAATTTAATATATGCAAGCTGATTGAATGAGTTACTGTGTAGGGAGTAAGTCTGGATGATTTACTGTACTGAAAGCTTTGTGCCACCCCAAATTGTTTCTATTTGATTCTTGCCTGTAAAAAAGGGTCATCCCATCTGACATCTTCGAAAATGCTGAAAATTGAAGTCTGTAGCTAGGAATAGAAAGGGAACAGCATTGAGTGCATTCCTAAGCATTTCATCCAGTGCTGATTTAAAGCATAAATTGGAAGTGGAACAGGACCACAAAATTTCACAGTGTTTGTGCCTGTACCGTTTCTGTTACCAGTGCAACAGCTAGAAAATTACTTTATACAGTATTTTTTAAAGTCTGAAGTTTATTTCCAAGAGTTCTGACCGCGGAAAGGAGACACGCTGGATGATACCGGCTGTTCCCAGCACAGACCGCTGCCCGCAGGAGCGGTCCGCCCCGAGCTGCCCTCCGCGCCCGCCGGGGCAAGGCCGAGCGCTG